TCCAGCGCCGTACTCAATGCCGCCTTATACCTTGCCCTCTGATCTGGCGTAGACTGGCTCTTGTCCATAGTCCCGGCGCCGCCATGGATAACGAGAACATACTTCCCAGCTTTCTTGGGCAGTCTGGGCTTCGCAAGTAGCGCGTCTTTCTCGCTAGCCGAGGGGGCCATGATTGGTCGTCAAGGTCAAGGAGAGATCTGTGAGAAGGGAGGTTGGAGATAGCATTTTATTGCCTGACAGGAATACTATCGGGACGCACTGCGGACCGTATGTTACCTTGCGACCAGCAAGGTATTCTCCCACTCCCGGATATCAAGCCAAAATTCTTGCCATTGTTTGTATATGTTTGTCATCTGTGGCTCTGTATCGTCTGTCCGTCCGAGTCGTCGTAAAAATTGTCTCGGAAGTCACTTTAAGTCTTATTATCCGTTGTATCTCGCAATGTTGACGCCGTCGCCACGGGAATGTCAATGTCTCATTCATGACCATAACTTCCCATTCTAGACTACACTGCTTAGTTCACCTCCGCCGTCATCTGCTTCTGCATTCTCTGCCACCATATCTTCGTCTTCCGGTCCAAGTCATCCAATCTATCATCCTCAGCTATCAAATATGGATCATGTCTTTGTTTGAAGATCTCTTCATCAAATTCTCGAAGAAGTTGAATACAATCTTGCCCATGACTTCGTGATAGTGAGACATACGAGTTGCACAGGCTCAATTTCCCGTGGGTGGTTTCGCAATATCAGCAATACTGAAAGATATAGTTTGATCTTGGGCTCGATAATCCGTGAATGCATAGGCGGGAGTTATACAAAATTGACGTCGGTGAATGGTGTGTTTTATGGTCCTTTTTTCGGTGCTGTTGGTCATCGGGATGCTTAAAGACTCTTTCGTAGGCTCGATTGGAACAACATGCTCTTCTAATCCGGGAAGTTGCGGCATACGTGTTCGGTCAAGTCGTACAAGAACATACGCAGGTAAGCGCTTCAGTTCGACCACTGCCTCATCCGTTAACGGAGGTTCCTCTGGATCAAGGACGATCTTGACGACTTCTCCACGAGAGCCATCGGCAATGTCAAGGTCTGTCGCCAAATTACTTGTTACCATTACCTTCATACCAACGGCAAGCAAAACCTTTTCCGGAAGATGCTTTCTTTTGGTCCTGCGCTGCTTGCGCAAGTATTGGGCCACTGCAGCGCGTTCCTCTGGACCAAGAAGTCGGGTACGAGTGCGATCTTCTGCACGGCAAACAAATAACTGCACCTGTGCTTGCTGACAGTGCTGCCGCGCTGCTGCATCATTCCACCTTTCACGTACTGCATGCCGTGGAGTAATCAAGATTGCATCTTTCCATGGCGGGACTAAGAAGTCTGTTGGGAGACAGTTAGAATGAGAGATCACGAGCTTCCGCAACATCTCAATGTGAGATTCTTGCACTCGTCCGTAACGTAAGTGCCGAAGGAAGTCCAGCCAGTCTGGATCCGTAACTCGTACTTGGTCTCTGAGTATAACAACTGCCGTAAATGATTCATACAACAGTCTTCCAGCTCGATCATCCTCAGTGTCTCCTGGGACTGCACAGACCGCAGAGATATCAATTAAATCACACGTAGTTAGTATAGTAAAATATTCTACAAATGGGAGAACAAACATGCCGCCATATAGCACAAGCACATTAAACGAAACTGAATCTTTTCTAACTCTCAACTACGACACGACATCTTCACGCACCGCAGTCTGTATGACATCACTACGTCACAGTCACCTCCAAGTTGACCAGTGCTCAACTCGTTTCGGATGACATTCTAAGGTCTAATCTTTACAGTGAGATGATAAACTACTCTAATACAATCCATTGCGCACAAAAAATTGAGCGCCGGAGCTTTTGCATTATGACATGACAGGGTGCAGCAGAACTGGTCACGTGTCTAGAGTGTTTGCCTTAGATACAAACACTTGACTTACAGCAACAAAATCAATCCAGGTCGCAAGGTACACGCCCGGCGGGAGCCGGCGCTTCTCGAGTACATGTCATTGTATGATTTAGAAGCAAGGGCAGTAACCTTGTTTCTGCCAGTTATTCAGAATGATTATACAATAAAGTGTGGGTCACTTTGCCGGAGTGGTTAACGGGATCGCCTGCTACTAGTAGCTGTCAGCGGTTGGGCTTTGCCCGCGTGTGTTCGAATCGCACAGGTGACGCTTTTTATTATTACCGCCCTCATCATCTTCCTGTGCAACAAACGAGTGAGGCTTCTTTGCGTTATTGTGCTGCCTGAAACGAATCGCCTGAAACTCTCATACAATGAATGTGAACAAGTACGCGAGCCTCCCCGACATCGTTGGTTCCCGTGTTCTTCCCATTTTGGTCTCAAATGACGCCCGAGTTTTCTTCAGGACACTGCGCCCGACGTCTATGAGACGGAGGATGTCTTTCCGACGACTGCAGCGGTATGTGACGCGTTGTAATGCCTTGTCGGACTGATATTGTAGCTATTCTGACAGAAAGGAGAGTCGAGCGATGAAGAGGCCCCGTCAAGACCCCCACCAAGGACCAAGGGTGCCGATGGTAATCTAGAGCTAGATTCAAGTAATCTGATAGGCGCAGAGGAAGCTAGCAGACGGTTCCGGAAAGCTGAAAGGAGACGAGGTAAGCAGGACCATCGTGTCAGAGACCGCTTGCACTTGCATGATCTATATCCTTTCACCTAGGCCACCGGACAGAGTATACATACCCCCCTTCACCCACATCTGACACGCCCCCTGCCAAGTCAAAGTCTCTCTCCTACCGGGACCGTTTACGTTTGTTACAAAGCGAGCTCACCGCTCTCGAATCCGAACTCTCGGATCCCTCGAACCCGCGGTTGCACAAAGAACGCGAAGAGGAACAAGTTGATCCTGGAGAGCTGATACGTGGGCTGGTGGACGTGAAAGGACGTCTGGAGAAGATCAGTAAGGTGAAGGAGGGACGAGGACGGCTGGTCGAGGCCATTTTGCATGACGATGATGACGATGAAGAGGAGGGAGAAAAGGATGGGAAGAGTGAGAAGGAGAAGGAGAAGGAGAAGAGGAGTTTGGGCATGAAGAATGTGGCGGAGATGGATAAGAGAATGGGCGAATTGGAGAAGATTATAGGGTCTTCTACAACTTCACTTGACGAGGTATGTTCCAGATCCCAACTTATTTGTATGCAATTGTGCTCAGCTTGTACGATTACTGTAGACCTCGCCTCTCCCGCAACCACTCCTCCCCATGCTCACCCGCCTCAACGCCCAACTTACCCTCCTCACCCAACCGCGCCACATTGACTCCATCTCCCGTCGCCTGAAGCTCCTCCTCTCTGACCTCGAGCGCACCTCGCACGGGCAAGGCCATGGCTCCTCCAACTCTCGCAAACCGCACCATCCACAACAACAGCAGGTCGCACCTGCGCAGCCCATCACCCCATCACCCATTATGGAACAGCTGGCGCCACTATTAACACGTCTCGCACCCAATCTGCCGCACATCCCTCATATTCTTACGAGGTTAAGGACGTTGAGCGCTTTGCATACTAGCGCTGCGGAATTCCAGAGCACGCTGGAGAGTCTGGAGGAGGATCAAAAGAAGGTAAGGGAGGCGTTGGAGGACTTGAACAAAGCTGTGACGACGGTCGAGAAAAGTCTGGAGGATAATCGGGGGACGGTGAAGGGGAATGTGAAGGGATTGGAGGATAGAGTTGAGGGCCTTGTACGAAGGCTCGAGGATCTCGGCCGACCTTCTGCGACCTAAGTGCTCACCGGTTGCATCGAGATACCCTATTGCCCATCATTCAATGCCACTCTTACTTATGTTACGGGTTTAGTTTGTCGCACAGTTGTTGTCGCCCACAACTAATGATCCTGCATTATGGAACTGCATTATAGAACAATTATCCCGACAAGGTAATGGTACATATACATCTGCATCTCCCCTATGTTAAGCAAGTCCGTAACAGAATCATTTATAGAACATTATTAGCCTCGAGATATTCCCGGGCATGATACTTAGCCTCCTCAGAGACTCGAGGATCTATGTAAATCCTCATTAGATCCGGAGAATAGCACGTCACTTGTATAGTTCAACTTACTGTGCAGAGCAGCCTTGTAGCCGGCGAGCACACGCGTGTTGTGCTCCTCCTCGGTTATGCCCTCGCCACGCTCGGCCGTGTAGCCTGCGGCTTCGAGGATTTCACGAGCATGGTTCTTGGCCTGCTCAGAAGTATGAGGATCTACAAATAATGTCCATGAATACCTTCGTGAAGCGCTCGTCACGGAGAAATACTCACTGGAAAGGGTGGCCTTGTAACCGCCTAGTTGTCGGCTGGTCTCTACACCACCGGTCCCGGTGCTGGTGTCCATGTTCTCGAGGCGCTCAGCAGCGCGCTCCTTGGCCACCCCAGACACGTTAGGGTTGTGGATGGCGGCCTTTAGACCAGCAGCGACACGAGTAGGGTCTATCGAGCAGACCGTTAGTAGCACAACTCGACTTTACCCAGCGGAATACAACATACCAGACATATTGTTATTAGGGTCGATAGTTGAGTAGTTGAGTCAGGCGAAAAATTCTGGGGCAAATTCAGTGGAAGTCTGCCCTTATATACCTGTTGCGCCATGGGGCGCCACAACGACTCAGTACTCAGTACTTAGTGGTGGTGAATGAATCCGACGCACATATGACATCACTCAATAACAGCGATCTTCATCCAGAGCACGAGACTTGCACTGCATGATCAACGAAGCTCCAAAGCGCCAAGACATGTGGCTTCGCTTCTTCGTTTTCAATTGGGGATGCAAATGGGAATATTCGTTCGCGCCACAACTTGCCACCTCTTGCCACCTAACAACTCCTTCGATGGTTCAGTTGAGGTGGCAACGTAGAGTCAGAAATCGAAGAGGCGTCACGCGAACACAGATCTTGACGATCCGCAAGTTAGGTGGTGGAGGAACTTGAAAGGCAACGTCTCTGACAAAACGAAAAGGTCATGCCAGGACTCGAACCTGGGTTATCGGAATACAAAGGGATGTTGAATCAAATTCAGAATCCGATGTGATAACCGCTACACTACAAGACCACAACTGGCTACAATTTCCATATTTTACATCTCCAATTTGTAGTAGTTTGCCTCCAGAAAGCGAACCTGGGATTCGAAGCTCGCCGTCAGGCTAATAACCCCTTCTTGCGGTCGAACTCGAAAACTGGATCCGACGAATCTCCTGACCGTGATGCTTTGGGCTGGATACAATCAAGTTGGGCGGTGGTCGGTTCCCACCACTCGGAATCCCCTCGTAGTCCTTGATTTGTGATGATCACCATCTACACAGGTCACGACTTACTGGCTCTTGCTCGGTGTTCTTATCTGTTCGGCCATCTTGGCAAGGGCTGCGGGATCACTGTCTCGACAGCATCGTCTTTGTCGCTGTCACCATATTATTGTTCTGTCTCCCTCTGAGCATTTTGCGGGACGACTCACCCCTGGTTATGCATCTCTATGAATATTAGCGTGTATACTACGGAACCTTCTAGCCGATGTGGAGACGACTCTCCTGGTGGCCTTCAGGAGCGTCCACAGGGACATCTGAAGTTCTTGCGAAGATGAACCATGCATCGCACGGTCTTCTTCGACGAACAGGAGCTATTTAAATGTCTTCTAGCTAACCGTGCCCCTTCTTCTTTTTCTTGATCTTGCCTCCGAAGTAGCTGCTTCTCGGTCTTCCCGCAAACCTGCCAGTGGATGATTGGCTGTGACCTTATACCGACAATAGCTAAATAACGGATGTCTACTGATCCCCGAGGTGTAAGTTTTCTCCACGCCCTCGAGCTTTGACCGAGTGATGACGGCCAAGAAAGACGAAGGTCGAAAACATCTGTTCTATATTCGGTTTCGGCTTCTTCCTGCTGCCCATCCAATTAAGAAACCCAGGTGCGACTGATCGCTCTAAGGGCGCGTAAACAGCTGTCCTTGTGGAGATGCGGCCGTTATGTATCTGGTCCCGAAAACCTTCCAATCATTACGGTTTTTAGCACATGTAGCATCGCCTCACCGATCGTCGCGGCAGGAATTGTCGTAACATAGAAGCCGATGCAATTTCTGACTACTTGGGCCGCGTCCCTGGCGCCATGCAGGCTTTCTAGGTCCCTCGTGTGAAGGCTTTTTTATGACACTCTGCGACGGTGTACAGATGATGCAAGAGTGGTTCTTCTGCCTATTGGCTCGGCAGCCTTGGTGAGCCACTATCATCATCGTCACTCGGGGACATTACTAACTTGCGTTCTAGAAAGCCCTGTTCACTTGGGCGGAGGCGTTCACCTGAATTCAAGATACTATTGTGATGACCGTATTTGTATCTCATATCTCGGAGGTATGTATAAGGTCTCCTCATACGCATCTTAGCCACATATTCACTCGGGTACCATCTCGCACTCTCGGACCGACGCCACCTTACACATAGGTCAGCCAGCAACCTTCCGAAGATCCTGCGCCCTCCCCTTTAACTCCTCCTTACGCAAGACTCTGTCTCCGCAACCGACGATGCGGATAGAGACTTGACTAGGTCGTCGCTGGTAGAACTCTCAATAACTTGACATGCAATGCTGAGAACGTCTGCTTCAAGCTTGTGTCCGGTATCATCATACGAACATCGGGCGTCTGGGTAACTCGAAGAATGTACTGCTGGTTACTACATGCGTAGGTGACGGTCGATCGTGTGACGAGATATCTCATTATTAGCAAGGATCATGCTGCCTGGTATAATTGAAGCTGCAGGGCGTGATCACTCGGCACATGAGTACAAATAGGTTGCGATCAAGTTCTGGCCGAAGGGCGAATCGATAGGGATGGCGTTTAAACGGTCCCATCTCCGGTCAAGATTACAAACTTCCCCACGTCCCCCTTGTCCCCAGTAAACGGGACCCAAGAATGTCTGTGCTCTGGAAGATCCCACTCATCCTCGCTGCCGCCGAGAGCTTCCAGGTAGCGACGACTCCTCCCACCCCGAATCCATCGGAGGGGGAACTTGTGGCGCCGAGTACACCTACAGAAAAGTTTCTAACCAATGGTCTCGGGCGTATCTCAGGGCCTACTACTCCAAAAGTGAGTGACTAGCTTCAAGATATTGTTCGCATGTTCGCTACTGACAGTCATCCCATCTAGAACCTGTTTTGGGCCGCCAGCATCTGCGAAATAGCAGTGATCCTTGCTCGGCAGAGACCATACTCTCCGCTGGGTACCATGACTCTCCGCTACCTCGCACCAGCAGGCTTACCAGGTGCTTCATCGATTGGCTTCACCAGACCTTTCATAGCTGGCTGCGTATTGGCAGTGCTTGGCACTTCACTCCGGTACTGGTGCTACAGGACACTAGGGCGGATGTTTACGTTCCGCCTTAGTATCGTAAAAGATCACAAGCTAGTGACCTCTGGACCGTACTCGATCGTCCGGCACCCAAGTTATACGGGCATTCTACTCGCAGTCCCGGGCATCCAGATTTGTTTGCTCGGCGCGGGCTCGTGGCTGAAGGAAAGTGGGGTGCTCGGTACACTTTGGGGCAAAATAGCCGTCGCATACTGGGGATTTATTTGCACGGTGGCATACCCGTCGGTAGTCGCTAGAGCATCCAAGGAGGATGAGATGCTGAAAAAGCGTTTCGGGTTGGAGTGGGATGACTGGGCGAAAAGAGTTCCATATAGGCTTATTCCGTGGATAATTTAACCTTGATGTAGAGCTAGCTTACTAATGGACCTGGGATCTATCAGGCTTGTCAGTTTGCCGACGTTTCTGCAGGCACCGGATGTCAGACATCTCTAGAATAATCTGATATCATATTGTGCAGCCGATCCCTTTTTTTTGTCTGTCCCAGGACATACGGCTCTGCGAAAGTGACAACTTATTTGGGAGGATGTATGTTGTGGTTGCAACTCTGTGACAGTCATGTGATTGTAATCATGTCACACCATCACACATCTTCTGTTGCGTCTCTCTCCCCCCCGCCTCTTTTCGCCTTTCACACTCTCTATCTGAGACTCTTGTCCGTATACATTCTTTTAAATACGAAGATCAATAAAACCATCATTTATGATCTGCGGGAGAGGTTCCCCTATTCTCGAATTTTCCTCTGTAAAGTCTAGCTTTCCAAGTGTGAAGTCCTCTCAGACAGCCCACGGGTCTACGTATTTGGGTCTATTTCACAATGCGTAATACGTACAATGAACGACGTTTTTTTAGAGATTCACTTGAAGATGCATATAATTTGGGTTCCGCTCGTTACTCGTCCTCAATCCCGCGGTCCTGGCTTCCGAATTGTCTTCGCCAGTCGCTCTCGCTGTTCGAAAGTCCTGCCAAACCATCCTATACCAAAGTGGGGACTTTGTATACCAAGTGCCGCAATCACGCCCGCACACTCCACAATCATGTCCTTGGTCGTGATGAAGTTGATACTCGAAGTCTTGACTGTATGTCTTCCATAGCATCATCTTTTCTATCCTAATTATAAATAGGACCCTTTACTTCTGTTAAAATTCTGTTGTTGTTGGAAGGGTACCGCATTTTCTACCAAGCTCCTGTGGAGGTCGTTGTATACCTTCTCTACAGAAATATTCCGGTATACTTAATCTCATCAAGGGGTGGGTTTGTACAACCATGGACCTGCCTGTTATTATTATTATTATCATTGGATTCTACAATGTCGGCGAAGATTTGAAGCTCTCCCGGGTAAGACATATACTCTACTGCCGAGGGGATGTAAGGCCCTACCACTTAACTTCCTTATAGGGAACACACGTTTCACGCACGTGGAATCGCGGAGATGTGCGAATTACGAGCAAATTTCGCTAAGTCAAGCTATTGGTGACATTCGTAGTCCGGGCTACCCTCGACTAGCTAGCCAGAGGAAGCCTTCGAAATGGGCACCACATTAGCTTCGAGCTATTACTTACATTCTTGCTTAAGATGATATAATGACTTGTGCAAGTTCTAAAAGGATATATGCATGTAGTAATTACACAGTATTCCATAATCCACCGTACTACGAGTATCATTGAGTATCACCAATAGCTTGACTTAGCGAAATTTGCTCGTAATTCGCACATCTCCGCGATTCCACGTGTGTAAAACGTGTGTTCCCTATAAGGAAGTTAAGTGGTAGGGCCTTACATCCCTGCCGAGGCATAGTACTCCGAGTCGTCAGTTATCTTTAGTGCCGTCTCTGAAGTGACGCCGCTGAGGCCTGCGGGGCGAAAATAGTATTGCTTTCCTATTTATGTTCAACCGGTGGAACATCTCTCCTGTCTTTGCAGCCCAACCAGAGAACTGCAGTTGAGACTAATAACATTTGATGACAAATAGCGTTCCATCCCTACCGGATATGGGGAGGACCCGGGTTCGAACGACGTTGATTTTGGTGTTTCATGAAGAAGGAATCCGACAGTGGATGCCTCTCTCGCGCTCGCAAAGGCTTCAGATAATATTGCCAGTTCGACTTGTTGCTTGTTCTCAGTCATCTCACCAAAGTATTGTGATTAATGCATAATGTACCTGTTGGGCTGCCGAGGTCCCGTACGTAAACGCGCTTGTGGCGACGCGACGTCGTCTTTCACGGGCAAATGGGCTCTCCTATCGCCAGCAGCCTTGTTTTGAACAAAACTACTACCAGGCTCGCTTTATTCACCGTGACTGCAACGCTCAACGGCTCACTCTGTTTTAGAGCCATCTCGTACTGAAATGGAGAAAATCGCAGAATATCAGCATACTGAGTGCTCAGTCAAGTCGGTTTTCAAACTTCCCGAATTTGTCTTGAGCGACGAGCCCATTATCCTCAAGAGCCCCATCTGCGGGCTCGGCTGGTCCTTTACTCTTCTTGTGGAAACCATTCCTGTGGGAACCTCCTATGGATTACTCAGAGCGAGAGTGACTGTGAATTCTGGGCAGACGGATCCGAGCTATGGATTTTTAAGTGTGCGGTACGGAGTCGAGGGCGAAGATGAGGAGAGTCAGTTTCAGACCAGATCGTTGGAGATGTATATCCCATCCTCGCTCGTGTTCAATAAGAGAGGCTTGAATCGAGCTTGGTGGTTTGT